CAGTTTCTGTGTGCACACCAGGCAACATCACACCACTGACATGATGGGATCTTTGGGTTTGGGTGCAAATGAACCAACGTGAAGACGAACACTCAAATATAAACACGCTTCATGTTTCTGTCCATGTGGATTCATTAATTCTTCTAAAGTAGAATTCACTGAGCACTTTAGTTTGACAAGTTTCATTCAAAGCTTCACTCTCATTTGGTTCATTTACTGTGTTTCACTGAGAAAAACAAGATAATTCAACATGACAGACAAATGACTTGAGACAGTTTATAAAAGAATCAACCTGTTGAGTCATTTTCTTCAGTAAAATATCTCCGTTTCTAAAACCTCCATTTGTTTCTGTTTGTCAAAACCCACAGAAAAAGAATCCACAGATTCAGTGACTGACAGAAAACTAAATGTTACAGAATCATAATAAACCTGCTGCGACAGGAACGTTCAGTTTCTTATTCCAACACTTAGACCCGTTTATTATTTGACGTTGTTGCAATAATAATAAATATGAATCAAACCATGAGAGAAAAATAAAATCTAAGTATCACGAGACATTTCAAACACTTGAAATTCTTCTGTTCGTTTTGTGTCTGAGTTTCTCTTCTGCAGCATCTTCACATGACCTCGTGTTTCTGTCAAGTTGTGATGATGAAGTCGTTTATGTTTAACACCAGAGGTCAAAGGTCACATTTACCTACAGTTCACCTGCGACCTTTAATGAAGGAGAAGATCAAACCTCGTTCTCTGCTGCTTCACATTTGTTTCTATGATTATTTTGGGCCAAACTATCTCACACTTTTAAACCCCTGGACTCCAGATGTTGGTGTTTGTACTCACAGCACTGAGTGACGGCTCCAGATGTGGTCAGGTCTCTGTACTCTCTGTACATGTTGTGGGTTCCACTGCGAGAGTCGTAACGCAGCCAGATACCGAAGTTCTTCACCTTCAGGGGAGTTTTCTCATGAACCTGAACACAAATCAACACGGTTACATTTGATTCTTTACTGGATTTGACGTCATCACTGGACCAGAAGCACCGAGAACCTACCAGGCCACAGTAGACGGTCTCTCCAGACGCCTTCTTCATCTTCCTCAGCTGAGAGACAAAGTACCAGAAGCGGGATTTGGCCACCACATGGTTCGGGGCGAAGATCCTCATTCGGTACAGTGGGGGGGCAGGGTTCTTGGCAGAGGGCAGGAGACGCCCAATAACTTTGTATTCCCTAAGCTGAGAGCAGAACGAACAATAAACTCAAGGAACACGTCACATTAGACAGAAGCAACACGACCAGAGTTCAGATGTGGAGCCTTGGATTCACTTTCAAAGCCACAGCAGCGGCAGAGAAAGGCGACAAGGACCAGTTTCTGTGTGCACACCAGGCAACATCACACCACTGACATGATGGGATCTTTGGGTTTGGGTGCAAATGAACCAACGTGAAGACGAACACTCAAATATAAACACGCTTCATGTTTCTGTCCATGTGGATTCATCACAAATATTTCTACTCTTCCTCAAAGTGTTGCAGAGCTTTTAAAGTGAACTTCTTCTAAAGAAGAATTCACTGAGAACTTTAGTTTGACAAGTTTCATTCAAAGCTTCACTCTTATTTAGTTCATTTACTGTGTTTGACTGAATGTGACATCAAGAGAATTTAAATTAAAACCTGTCGACAGTTGAACTCATTAGAGACGAACGTTCAATCTAGAGCTTCATGAGTTAATTCTTAATTCCACTTAAAGTTAATTTGTAGTTAAATTACTTTTAATTCATTTTTCTAGTTGCAGCTTCTAAAGGTCAAATATAAAACTTTTGTTAATAAACAAGATGATTATTTTAGAGAAAACTGAATCAAACTCATCATCTACAATATGAATTCATATTAATTAATCATGGAAACGAGTTAGAAAATGTAAGAAACGTTCACCATCATTTCTAAAGTCCTGACGACACAATTCCACTTTGTGTAGAAAGTTAATCATGACGTATTACACTGCTTCCTCACATCACTTCAGATTCATGTATTTTCCACTGTTGAATATTAAACCTGATTAAATCACTAAAGTTAAAATGAGTCATTTATTAATTGTCCACGTTAATTGACACGTGTTTGTGTAAATGTTGGCACTGAATTATTTCCCATGATCCTCAGCGCTGAGTGCGGTTCACAGATTTTAAACATTTTAACTTTTAAACTCAGAATCAACTTTTCATTAAATTCTCGTTATTCACTGATGACGTCCACACTTCACAGCCACATTAGCGGCTAACGTTAGCTTCGTGTTAGCTTCGTGTTCGCTCGTGTGTTAGCCGGCAGCGTTAGCTCGCTAGCTAACCTCAGATGTGAACTTTGAGAAGCAGCGGATCAGTTTGAATCTTAAAGACGAACTTGAATCGACATGAAACCGATTCTCCGGGTTCAGTCTGTCTCAGCTCGCCTCGTCCACATGGCTCGGAGGCCGCCATGTTGGAGCCACTAACGCAGCGGGACAAAAACGCCTAAATGTCGGTCGCCACGCGACCTTCGTGTCGCTCGGACACTGGGACAGTTGCAGGCGAGGCTCCTGAGAGCGAAGCTGCCGTCGGAGCTCGGCTGAGGACGGAGGACATGTTTGAAAGTGCAGGTTCTTACTGTTCCGGACGCCTTCATGGTTCCTCCGCTCACCGCCGCAGTCAAAGAGGGAGCAGCAGGGGGCGCACTGCGCATGTGCACAACAGACAGGAAGCTGTCATCTTCTAGACAACCTCCCGCGCTCTGATTGGCTGAGGCGGAGAATGAACACTGACGATTGGCTGGAGTTAGAGAAAGAACGTCAGGTAGAGCCAATCAGAGGAGAGAACACCTGGAGGCGGGACAAAGAGACCGGAACAGTGTATAATAATAATATACA